CCCACGACCCTGCTTCTCTGTCTCGCTATAGCTCTTTCCTTATCCCCCTTCTTACTCATTCATTCACATCTTTCTTCTTTCTGTTTCAAATTATCTCGCTACTTTTTAGTCTCAAACAAACGTAAAAGTCACGTTAAACCATAGCTTTCCATGCATAAAAGAAGTGATTGCGATTGAGAGATGGTGTGAGGGAGCGAGATCAGAAGAAACCTATGTCATAAGTGTGTAATGAATTTCATTTTATCTTTCTTTGTCAGATTTATCCTGTTCAACCCGTCTCAAGCACGATGATAGGCCTTATGAGGTAATTGAGTTGTATTTGTAGTTAAACTATTGATGTGATGCCGTACGGCTTTTCGGGATGAGTCACAGAAAATCAAGCTTTAGAAAAACCCCCGGAAACCGAATGCGGTTATTTATAGCACATGGAAGGTTTCCCCCCTCGTTTCTGTTTGTGATGACGTAGACAAAAACATCTTGTTGACGCCCAATGGCCTTCACCGAATTTCACCAATGATGTCAATATCTATTTTTAGGTTTGTTTTTTTCAAGTAAACCTGAGTGATCAGCTATTTTTTTCTCTTTTGATTGTTTCAAAAACGTTTATTGTGAAAATTAAAACTATGTAAATGTTGAAGAAGGACTGTAAAACCGTAGAGTATGATTGGAAAATTTCATTCACCTCTGTTCTTTCGTAAGTTTATTAAATATTCATAGCCAGGGGGCTGTCCCTTTTCCTTCCAACCAATGAAAGTTCTTCTATTTATATCTCAATTTTCCTATTGGCTGTCTTTCTGCTGACGTTCCTATATTTTCACCTTTAGACAGTCACGGGGCAGATCAAAACAAACCAACGTTGTGAGCGCGACGTGTTATTATTCAGTGAAGTCTTCTTGCGAGTGAAATCTTGTATTGAAGTTTTCATATTTCTATTCAATTAAAAGATTCTGGGTAAGTAGTGACCTTTGTATTAGTAGCTTTAGGTAAACGATACGTGGTAGTGAAATGTAGTAGATCTACTTGGCAATAGTCACTGAGAATAGTTTTAATATTGAATGAGAAGGCCATGATGACTGAATGCTCAAGGCTTATATATGATATGTCGAAACTTTTATGCAATCTTTCATACAATGTGACCGAACACAACGCCAGCGAGAGTTATTTTTCTGTTAGAATCCGGAAACTGAAATGTTGTAATTACAGTTTTCATAGTGTATCATAAGTAATACGCTGTTTAACAGTACGTTAGGAGAGTTATTTTCACCAAAACAAATCTGACGATCCAGAATATTCCTGTTCCTGTTGTGTTCGCCAAGTGTGACCTTGGTGACCTCGTTTGCGACGAGGAAAGGTTTCCCCGTGGCCCCTGGCAAAATGGCGCGAGGCGATGAATCAGTGTCGAGCGCAGGCCAAGAAACGAGAGGTCTCCACTCCTTTTCCCAACTGGAATTCCCCACAGGTCCTCGTGCAGACTTTCGTCTCTCGACTCTCGATATGATGGTTTTCTTTTGGACTTGAACATTATTTTTCTCTCTGGAATGTCACTGACTTTGTTGTGTTGAGCTCTTCATGAGTTTGGGAAGTGATTCCACTGCTAGAATCTAGGCTGTTCTCGATCTACATAATAGAATACAAATAGATCAATGGATGATTGAAGATTCTTCATCATATATCATAATGTATAGTATAGACAGTTTAGAAGATCTACGAAGATTGGTTTAGTTTCTATCGGGAAATCACCATTCATAATGACTTTGTGAACTTTGTCAATTCAAGCTATGGTCTTTTACTCTTGTGTTGTGTTGCCAGCCAACAGCTTTGGACTTTGGATTCTTCATAGGCTTTCACTTTCACCGCTTCCCCTTTTATAACGATGAAGTCATGAAGAAACGTGTAGCATTTCATTTCAATTTATAGCAGCCTGAAAATAGTAAAGACAATAAGTTGGAATGAACACTTTTCAAAATCAATTTTTTAAATTTAAATCATTCTGTGAAATAATTTGGTGACGGCTTGAGTGCGAAATTTTAGATATTTAGACCTTAAAAGGTTTTGACTTTGAAGACTTTTCATGCGTAGTGTGATGGATGGGAAAGACAAAGTGACCAGTAGGCCTACTAGATGTAGTAATCACATATTTGAATTACCACTCCCAGTTCAGGAGTTGGTAGAAAAGTCTACAATCAAAAAAGGAAATAAGCGCCACCAAAAATGGTAGGATTTTTATTGTTATTAGAATAAAATTACCAGTTATTTTTATTCATTTTATCACATAAATAAACATGTTTTCATTGGTAAGATGGGTTATATTATGCATTTTTTCTTGACTGAGTTTTAGATGATGAACATTTTGAAACAACAAATAATAAAGCTACTCTGTTACTATTTAATTTTAAAGTCTGTATTAATGTTGTCTTTTGATCAGTGGGTAACAGTGCCATGAACTTTAATTAGAGAGCCCATACAATACTGTGCTGTCAAATGAATTCTAATCTTAAACTGCTTCAAATGAAAGCAGTTGAATGCTTTGCAAAGAGGCAAAGTAAACTTTATATTTATTAGTCTACTTTTCTTTGCATTTCAGTCCCCCAAGTATTGTCAACAGTTGTCCATCTCGTCTTCAAAATCTCCATTCAGCTGTGCAGGCTCCCCTGCCAACTATAAACTCTTCCAGGTTCAACTGCCCATCAGTATCAAGTGTTCCGTTCTCAGTACCTTCTAAGGTATGTATGACGTATATAATCTAAGGCATTTTAATTTGTTGTCTGTGTTTTTTTTAGAGAAATGACTTTAAAAATATTAAATCAAATTAGATCTACTATTATTTGAAAAATATTTTTTCAAGTAAACCTAAGTGGTCAGCTATTTTTTTCCATTTAATTGTATCAAAAAGGTTTGTTGTAGAAATTAAAACTTTACAAATGTTGGGCAGGTGTAGACTGAAAATTTACTTCAATTATAAGAGTTAGATGTTAGGGGAGATGTATGTTAAGTCTGTTACAAAGTGAGACGAGATGCTGCCCTCAAAAGATGTATTTTTACCTGATGCTATGATTGTCAACAGTCAGTCATATTTTGAATGTTTTATTCTTCACAGAGACCTGTACCTCCATCTGGCGCCAAAATGGATATTGTGCCCAGCCCAGGACTCATGAACACTCCATTTACTACAAGCCCACACCCTTTAATATATGATCAGGAGAAACCAGACAGATGGGGTAGCTGCTATAACAGCACTAACCCCCTTTCAAATCCAAGTACAGATTCTTTTGTGTCTGATGAAACATATGGCTTGGATGACAAATTTGAGGACAGCAACTTGCAGACTTTGTTGACATCTGAGGTCATGAGTTCTCTCCAAACTTCTTCCGCAAACATTCCCAAAGAGTTTCAATGGGGAGAAAAACCAGACACAATCAACTCTGTGCAGACATCAACAGACAGTTTGGGCTCTACACCAACTCTTGCAGAACTTAATATGGAATCTGATCTGTCTATTGTGTCTGAAATATTGAATCTTGACCCTGATGAAAACTCTGCACTGGATTTTCTCTGCAGCAGTATCAGTTCAACCCTACCAAGCTCAGTGTCATCTGGCTCTTTGAATTCTACACAGCCGCCGACATGCTTTACGTCTTCGTCCCAAAATTCTCAGAAATCTTGTGACCCAAAAGTTATTTCAAGCACTTCCCAGTACGGACAAGCAAAAAGTGTGGAGGTTGCTGGAGACAATTACATCAGAAACTACACACCAGCGAGAAATAACTTCCCCCCACGAGCCTCTCAACCCCCTCTTGTTGGAGTTGTGACACCTGTCAAAAAAGAGGAAGATGAACTTGCTATGCACGATATGAAATCGTCTAGTAATTATGACAAGCTTCAGAACCAGTCACCATTTCTCCACAAACTGTTGAAACAGCAGACAAACTCTATCAAAACAGAATGTCAAAGCTCTGTTGTTTCTGAGAACAAGGATACCACGTGTCTGATGAAAAGCGAGTTGCCTGCTCAGATTGTCCCACCATCGACAGGTGCAGCGAAGAGAAATCTCAATGGTTCTATTAAAATCGAACCAACCTCCCCAGAGACAGCACCAGTATTCCATAGTGAGGAATCCATTGAGCAAAAATGGAAAGACATTGAGAATTTCATCCATAACCCAGAAGAGCCTGTTGTCAAGAAAAGAAAACGCTGTGGTGAGTTTTGAATTTTCTCCATTCTCATATTTTTTAAATTAGAAAGTCTGTTAAGTCTAAGGGTGTTTTGTGGAACTTTCCATTAACTCAATTGGTAGGGCATTTTACCCGTGGTTGGGTTGACTCGAATACTAAATGGGAAGATGTGTCTCTGAATCGTTTAGTTTATTTTGAGATGGACATCTATTCAAGCATTCTACATCTGAATGTAAGGGCATAGTGGTTAAACAACTTCTCTTTGTTTGATCTTGTTGTGATGTCAACTTTTTAGTCTACCTGAGTGAATGTTTTAGCAAAACATCTGTTTCTCTGGTATTTGTCGTTTGTACCTCAGGATATTTTGTCATTTGTTATGAGAGAACTAGGTCTGTCTGTCCTTTTTCTCAGTTTTTGGAGAATTAAGTTAAAAATTGTTCTTCTTTTTGCCACAGTTCTGTGAATTAAATAGAATTCACTAAGAGTAGACTATTTAAATACAAACCTTAGTTTGTTTTTAAGGGGGTTAACTATTTGGATACAAATTTTAGTTTGCTTTTGAGGGGGGGGGGGGGGGGGCTCACCCTGGGTGTTTATTACTATTTCCTATTTCCAACTTGTTTTTTCCTAGGGGAGGGGGGGGGGGGGGTCATAGTTTTCTCAACATTCCCTAGTTGTTGATTGTGGTGTTTCTGTTGGAATACTATAGTTGGCTTCTTTTTTCCATATATCCATTTCTTTTTCGGTGAGTTTCAACAAACCCAACACGGCGTCTGCTACAATGACTTTGCAAAATTGTCCATTTGGGAATGCTGACATGCTATTATTAAATCCACGTAACCGTCAGAGTTTCTATTTTTAAGGATGAGAAGTTGGGAAAGTGCCAAGTCTATTCTTATTTCCTGTTATTATATTCGTAGGTTTTCTTGATTCTCAAACTGAAGCTGAAATGTGCTTTTGTATAGACCCGATGGAGCTGTCACGACCCTTTTATTCTCTATGGGTGTGGAACGATCACGTGCCTCAACATCATGGTTGGGTGTTTCTGTTCGTGACCTGTTTCTAAAAATAGCTTAGTCATTCGCTTACTCTTCAGTGAACCAAAGATCCTTACTTTGAGTGAACGGCAACCCCTCCCTGGAACTAGAACCGGTTCAAAACATTGAAAGGGGGTCCCCTTTCATTCGAATGCGATACTAGTCGCATAAATATATGTTTTTGCAGTGGGTGCAGCTTATTGTTGCACTTGTTTTGTGGCTAATGGTTTTCAGAGTGTCTGGTCATTGATGTTTTGTGCGTGTGTGTGTGTGTGGGGGGGGGGGGGGGGGTTGACTCCCCAATGTCAATGACGAAGGAATAGCTTGTTATTTGTGTATAATGTCGTAGGCCTAATGTATGTAAGGGTGTGGGACTTTGGAGATATCGTTTTCTCATTTAGGCTTTACGGTAGGCCAATATTTTACGGCTATTTCGTCTGACATTGGATTCTGCTTCAGTGTTTTTTTGTAGTAAAACGAAGCGTTCTGTTCCTCGCGAGTCTGTGACTGTGAGCACAGTGGAAAGTCCATACTTTTTTCTACTTCTACTGTCTACATTGTGCGTACATGGTTTTGGCAGTGAGCCCACAGAATGAGCACAGATGTAATGGATATTTGATAGGGGAAATTGTCCTAATGATTATCAATTGCTACTCCCACGCGCTCTTGTGTTTCGAAACAACGCGTGATGGATGATGTTGTGAACTTCATACAGTTACACGAGCCTCGTTCTGCCATCGTAAACCCGCTCTGTGTATCGTGGGCGTTTATGTCTAGAATGTAATAACACTTAATAGCGTGTTGAATATTTAACTGCACTTGCTGTCATGCAATCGCTAATGAATAAATATTTTATTACCTTTGGCTTTCAGCCATCTATAGATCTACTCCTCTTCCCGCTGATTAGGACGTTTTGTGATTTACTTGGGAGTCGACCAGCTGATTAATATCAAGTTCGGGATGTATTATTGATTCTTTTTCTTGAGAAACTTTAGTTTGTCCGAGGTATGAATTGCTGGCCTATGCGCGTGGTTGTTTCTTTAGACCGATTGTGTCACTATGTTTCTCGATAAATTCTTTTGTTTGTCGTATAATAACTATTAGTAGATCTAGTGCAGTATTTTTATCTCGTCGATCAGTTGCTACCGATTTGGTCCTCTCCTATGTACACATTGTGTATTTTTGTTCCTTTTAAAAAAAAAAGTGTTTTCGTGGGTAGGGTTGAAAAAACAGGACAAAATGAGCCACATTATAAGGCTGCCCAAGTTCCCTGAAAGCAGAGATTGTTTTGGGTTTGTTTCCATGTATTGGTTTGGCTTATCCCGATCTCTTGTTATCTCTCCGCCCGCGTCGTGTGCCCAGACGGCCCATCCCATGCCATTGTCCCATGTCTCTCTGGTGCTTGTCTCCCGATAAACAGACCTGTCGTTGGCCGGGTCGTTGGGTGCAGTCTTGGACTTGAATAGCACTGCGGTACTCTAGCTGTTGCTGGGCGCCTCGCCTTTAAATTATTCAAATTTTCTTTTCTTTTTTCTCCCTCTCTGTCTCTCTCTCTCTCTT